TGATTGTTTGCGATTGCTTCTCTTTTTTTACGAAAAAAAAACCATCACATTTTGCTGATTCGGTGTCAACGAAAGACATTCCTCTCAGTTTCCACTCTTGATAAGATACGGATCAGAAAGAAAAATTAATGTTTGTGATTCACAGTGTATTATGCAAAAAAGTCTTGCTTATCGTTCAACACAAATCACACCATATCAACGCCATTCCTTAAATGGCTTCTCATAATCGTCATTCATACGCAAACCGGAAAAAAACACAGCAACATAAGGACTGAAATTTGTGCGCTGCTCCCCGTAGTCAAAAGACTGTGCTTAGCATGACCTTTTACAGTAGATTACAAGCTTCTGTCGACTTAAAAAACAGCCTAAGTATGATGTTCATGTTGACAAATTTCTACATCGTGTGCAAGTTCTTATGGGAGACGTCACCATCAAAAGTATTAAAACATAAACAATTTAATCCGACGATGAATTCAAGTGATGTGAGTTCCACATGCAGATCGGCTTATGAAAAAAAAACTGCAACGCTTGATTTCATCTGATATCACGAGACGCAAGACCAGAAAGTCACGAGACCAAGAGCAAAATTTTTTTCCGATACGCATCTGCGGTGTTCACATCAGTTTCAGGCTTGTGAATGTGATCAACTCTAACAGATCATGAACAACAGAATGCAATTTAAGGCGCCATTTCGCTGCTGTGATATATTTATCAGTTGTCAAGGACATGACTCTTTTTGCGATGTCTTCATCTTGCTGATTTTTCTCATAGCACTATGAGCAACTTCAATCGAATCCATTGTTTCATTACTATCAGAAGGATGAAGAAACAAATTTGCCTAGCAAAAAAAACGATAACATGCATGTAATTGGTTATAAAATGTTGCCACATCAATGATCAAGACACTTCTAAGTGTTCAAGTGAATCCTTGGGAAAAACACTTCACTGATCAAAAATCAGTGCTGTCAGATGAGAAAGTGGTTGACTGAAGAGAATACTCCTAGGACGATGATTAGAGTTTCAAGAAATAATAGGTAGAATTTCGCACGGAAGTCGGATAATTAATGTGGGATCCATCTCTTACCAATTATCACGATTATCGTGAAGGGTGAATGAAATCAAAGACAAGTAGTAGCTCTTTTTAGGGATTATATTATAAGTTGAATATCAGTGATGTGAACTTATAAACTTAATTAAATTTCGCGTAACTGTAGAATTTATAGTAGCTGTCAGCATTTGACTGCTGCTATAATTGCTTACTGCTTCTTCAAGTAATTGTTGGTGTCAAATAATAAGGAACATGATGAACGAAGACAATATAAAACATTTAACGTTTAACGTTAAAAAAAGATACAACAAGCTTTAACACTTCGAAAAAAAATCCAAAGAACTAGTCCAATAGTGCTAACCTGAGTTATAAATTGAATGAGGGCAGTCCTTTTAGCGGCCTGCATTTTTGCTATGGTCATTGCTAGCGAATGCCTGGCCGTATCGTCGAACTCAGCACCTTGCAGAGCAGTGATCAGTTGAAGTTGACAACTGAAATTTGATCATTTCATAGGTCATTATCACTCCGATCCAGTATCGGTTAGCCTCAATAGTGAGCTTGAACTGAGCCGCCGAGGAATTTCTTATGATTTCGATAGGATCTCTACTCATTGCGATTGCCATAAGCAGAAAAGAATCAATCATTTGCACACACCAAAGTGGATCGTTCAAAGTGTCCACTGGCGATTTCGGTGGTGGCGAGTCGGAGTGCGATGAAAATCTTCTCAGATGCTTGAGCGGTGAAAAAGCTGAAAACTTCCTGTTGATTGTGAGAAATTACACTGGTTAAAGGGCGATCGCTTGATAAACAAATTTGTATAAAACCTTGCAAACCTAAATAATTTCAACATTTCAAATTTCGATCGAAATTTGTAGATGGTTCATGAGAACATAAGAATCATGAGAGAAGAGATCAATGAAAGCATGAAGCTAACTCACTCATTGTTGTGGGATGACCGGTGACGAACATTTTCTTCTTGTGAATAAAGTGTTGGACTTCCAGCTAAGTTGACAGCTTGACTTGAAATGTAATACTATCAACGACTGCGTCGACAGTTTATCAATGCTGTTTCATTCGATAGGCGATGAGCATTTATATATGCGTTGCTGCATTTGAGCGTGTTATAGGTAAGAGAAATTTTGTGACGATTTATATTGTGTTTAGAGAATGATTGCGATTTCTTATCAGTTGATTATGATGATTCTATTGCTGTCTAATTTCTCTGGTGCCATTTCCAACACATCCTATCGTATCGTTATCAGTTTATCAATTCACTCGGTTGTTCAGTGTTTGTGACTAGAATGCAAACACAACAACGATGAGATGAGTTCTATGATATCGTCGTCATTCTATTGGGCGATTACTCGTCGTGCATTCATATATCCCAGTATGCGTTCAAATGCGACTCATCTAGTAGAATACAAATACCTTAGCAAATAGAACAGCAAAACATCATATTTAGTCATGCTTACAATTAGGCTTCGATAATTCCCTAATGTTGTATTCTGGTGTCGGCTCAAATATAAGCGATATTTCCAAGTTGCATTTGAATTTCAGGGCTTCTTGTCGAGCAGTTCAAGACCTCATACAATTCAAAATAGTATTTGTTGAGCAATATAATACATACGAATATGCAATGGATGATTTTGAAAAAAAAATNTCAGCGATCACAGCGCACAATTTCAGCATAGAACATAATATCAAATAATGTAAAAGTTTGAACGAGTATTTTGTGATTTGTTCAGAACGATTCAAACAAACACCATTTGAGAATGCCACCGTAAATGTTTCCAAATACGCCTCAAATGATGGTTCATTATCTGAGGCGTAATCCTTAATGTTTGGTTCGTTAGTGAAGTGAAATCGCATGTAAACAACATTACAAGCAAACCAATTTTTTGCATCGGAAACTCAACGTGATTCGAAAATTCTGCTGACGAATGTTATCAGTGATCTGTGATTCGACAACGGAGAAGAGGTGACGAGAAAATTTTGATCACAATTTATGATCAGATTGATTCCTACTACCTCACGAGCAGCAATCCTTAATCATTAATCTTTACCCCTTAAAGGAGCAATTCTTAATATCTCTTGAAAGTCACCAGTTGCCTTTTCGGCTGAAAAAGCGACTCAGACCGATCGATCAACCTGAAGCTTTCATCTAACAAAAACTTTAACTGATCAAGCAAAGCAATCTTCGAAGAGACAATGATGCTTAGGGGAGAGCAGTTCAAAATTTGCAATTTTTATCCACATATTGTAAACTACAATATCTATAAACTATATTGCAAGGAACCACAAACTGATAGTGAGAAAGCAGAAATCCAAAGGAATCGCGACTGATAAATAATTGTTTATAGAAAATGACGTTGATAAAATAGGCGAAAGAACCTCTCGAAATGTAACGGTAGATTGTAAGAACATGTGGAACGTGTTCATCAATGAACTCATTCCTCGTTCACTCAATACACCCTTATTTATATACCTCATCTTATGCTCAAAAAACAGCAGAATAACAAACTAATCAGGCCCAAATTCTATAAACAACATGTAGAACACTAAAAAAACTCTGCTCTTGACTCATCAACAAATGCCAGCTCAATATCAGATCGAGTCCAACATCGTAAACATCAGTCGTCAAGGAAGAGCGCGACAAACGCAATACTCTCGGATAATGTGAACACTACGAATCGCCC